CCCGGCGCTCCACGCCCACGCGCCGGCTCCCGGCGCCCCAACAAAAGGAACTGGCGAGGAGGCCACGGCGCTCACGCCCGCACCCGCCGCCACCGCTGCCACCGCTGACAGCACCCGGGGTGTCCGGTTCGCACCGGCGCCTCTGCACCCACGCCTGCACACGCACACTGAGGCCGCAGTGCAAAGTTGCGGGCTGCGGGACACGGGAGCACCCCGCTTCCCCCGTGGGCTCGGTGGGCACCCTTTCTCTCGCCCCAGAGGAAGATGGATGACCTGACCCGCACTGTGCTTTATGCATGGGCCTGGCGTTCACCTCCTAGGAGTAAGCCACCCACCGAGGACAAGGTTTTCCAGTAGTTTACAGCCCGGTCCAAATAAAAACTGAAGGATATTTGTAGAATTGAACTATGGAATGTACTTAGAGATAGGGCACTGGGGATGTTTTTTTTTTTCTTTTTTTGTGGGGGTTTGGTTGTTTCGATAAAACCTTATTTCTGTGACTTAAGATTTAAAGAAAGACAACATTTCAAGTGCATTTTTTTGATGATTGTATTATTTTCCTGTTGTTCTGAATCTTTTTAGCTTGTTGACATTTCTCTTTGGTTGTGTCAGAGAAAGGCTTTTTTAGCTTCTGGACCTCCCCAATATTAAGGGTTTTGGGACATGTTTTTTTCATTTAAAACTAGCATCTTGTTTTGCATATCTCCTTTGGCCAAGATCGAGTGTAAAACGTCTCTCTCCCTCTCTTTCTCTCTCTTTTCTTTTGAGTTTGAAAACATGTATTTCATTTTCTTAAGATAAATTCTTAGGAATGTGGGCCCTACTGGAAGACCAAGATGAAGTCAAATACCGAGGGTTGTTTTCTAAATTGGGACCTTGTTGAGACTCTTGCTTTTAGTTGTCTCATCTGAAAGATGATAAATAATGGTATTTAGCTTATAGGATTGCCATGAATAGTAAATGGTCATTTTTTTTTTGTATAAAGTGCATAATTAGCATAGTGTATTACCTAAACTGCCATCAAACACTTGTAATTGGAAATTATTATTTGTTTTGGGGCCTTAAGGCATGCCATTACTGAACACATTTTGTACATTTCTATAGTTTATGTCTCATACAGTAAACACAACTTTGAGAGCAGGTATGAAATAAAAGCAATGTTCCTTGTCTGTGTGTGAATGGAGTTACCAGATGGAACCAGACTGGTCTCAAGAAAGAAAATAGAATCTGTTGTGGAAAACAGCTTCAAGTACAAGGAAAGATAGTCTTGAAAGTTACAAAATTAAGGCAGGGGAATGAAGAGTGTGCCACCGGCAAGAGAGACACTTAGGTAGACATGGCAGTGATGAGTGAGTGATTGGCTATGCAAGTTGAGGCAGCGTGGACAGGCAGCTTCATAACTGTGCACCTAGCTGGATAATGGAAGGAGTCCCTGAGGTCCTGTGTACAGGAGGAATCCTTTTAAGAGTGGGAGAAACTGCTGGATGGAAATGATGATTTGGGTTTGGACATCTTGGCTTTGATGGCTTATAAATCATTTAAATGAAAACATCCATTAGATTTTTGGTGCTGGTTTGGGACACAGGAGAGCTGGGGATTTAGAATCCAGAGTCATCAGCAAGTAGATTGTAACTGAAGCCAGTGGAGCTGATAGGATTGTCAAGGACAGAATGCTGTATGTAGTTATCTGTCATGAGTGAATACTGGCCTCCTTGTTACTGAGCATTATTAAATCATACTTCTGAAGAAATGATTGCTGTGCTTTTAAATTCCCTAATAGTGGAAACAGCACAGTGTCTGGGGATAAATTCGGCTTGACAGCCTGGCTGGCCCTGCCACTCATTGAATAAACTTTAGCAAGTTACTTGACTTCATTTCCACTTAATGACCTAAAAATGGTGATAGAATTTCTAGGACTTTCCTCAGAGGGTTGTGATGAGGTTAAGGAAACTTGTATCTCTAAAATGTTTCAAATGAAGCCTTGTGTGCAGTAAGCACTGAGCAAATAGCAGCTATTTCATGTTTGCAGTGTTTATGAAATGAGGCTTAGGACCTTTTCTTCAAAATGACAGTCTTTTCCATTATATTTGCATTTATGAAATTCATTGCTCTGTAAAAACCTACTGCTGTGTGAAACTTTATTTAAAAAAAAGATTCATGATGGTCCAGAAATCTTTTTAAAGACCCATGCCGGTCAGCTTTTCTGGCTGAGCTCCTTTTTCAGCCCTTTTCTTGAAGTGCTGTTACTTTTTTTGAGGCAGGATCTGATTTTGAAAGTTCATTACTCGTGTAACCTTGACTGGATTGCTTACCTCAGCTCAGCTTTGCCAAGCCCCATGCATTTTGCTCATATCAAGAAATTGCCTTTTCTCTGATCTTTCTCCTTTCTGAGGTCCTGGCTTATGCATATATGAAGTTTAACTATTTGCAGATTAACGGTGCGGGTTTTCCTTTGGATCATTTTGTCCTGTGTACTTGATATTTAACAAGAGGATGATCATTTGTGTACATTTTTACTAGATTCTTCTTATTATAACCTAGGGAGGCACAACAACGTAGTAGATTATTGGTTTGGGGACCAAATTGCACAGGTTGAAACTCTGCCCACACTGCATTATGGCTGGGTAGTTCCAAACATTTGATCAGATCTCCTTGTTTTGGTTTTCCAAAAGCCCGCATACAATTTATGGGAGGATTAAATGAATGAATATCCTAGAAACACTTGAAACTGCCTGGGACATAAGCATTAAAAAATGGTACCCACTGCTTTGTTGCCAGGATATTATTTGCTAATAGTAGTACTATTTTCTAGATTAGATGCCAGTACCTAAATTGTCATTCAAACTCTTCTGAGTTTAGTTACTGTATTTTTTTATGTGTATTTTCTTTTTGCAACATATTTTCCATAGTAGGCCCCCCAACCCCACTGCTGATGTCACAACTTAATGCTTATTTTCTTGTCCTTCAACTTTTGATTAGCTATAATTTTTGCCAGGAAGCAGAATTAATGAAAACTTGTTCTTTTGGAAGGGAGCAGGTGTTTCAGAGGACTGAATGTAGCTCAAACTTAACCTCCTCTCTGCTTGTGATTCTGACTGTGTGAACCCAGTTATAGTTCCATGATTTTTTTTTTTTTTGTTCACCTTATCCTCAAAAATCCTTTTATTTACTTATTTATTGATTGTTGTAGAATTGAGCCCAGGGTGCCATGAGTGCTAGGTGAGCACTCTGTACCACTGATCTACATCCCAGCCCTTATCGCACTAATTTTTTTTTTTTTTTGGTTTTTCGAGACAGGGTTTCTCTGTGTAGCTTTGGATCCTGTCCTGGAACTCACTCTGTAGACCAGGCTGGCCTCAAACTCAGAGTTCTACCTGCCTCTGCCTTCCTAGTGCTGGAATTAAAGGTGTGCTCAAGCACCCGGCATGTCATTGTATTTTCGAAGACTATTTCTTATCACTTTCTCAGAATCTTGGCTCTGCACGGTTCCCTTTTCATTCTAACATTTTTATTCCGGCTAAGAGACCTTTATTCTCTGTCATAGACTTCCTATGCCTGTCTCACTATAAAACAAAGACCTGTTGAGTTGTCTGGCATTCCTAGCTGCCACCAATTATTGATTTTTCATTTCTAGTCACGGTTCTCTCAGGTATATGCCATCGCCATGACTACTTCCTGCTTCTCTTAGGAATGCTTAGGCTATGTGAGCATGCTTAGCTTATGTGTTCCTGAGTTGCAATCTGCAGTTAACCCTTGACACTTTTCCTAGCCTTAGCACTGACTTCAGGAGCTTGTCCCTCTCCTGCCTCCTTCTTCCCCTGGCTTGCTATAAAGTAACAAAGTGAATGCACTTCAGTTACAATAATGAATAAATCTTACAGTCTAATTTTGGGAAAAAGAAACAAAAAAGATACTGCTAGATCAGTTCTTGAATGTTCAAGTGCTATGTGGATGCTGGAACTGAAGAAGTGTTTGCCTGCTACCTCTGTGCAGCCACAAAGCGTATTTCAGCACATCCCTAGGCAATCACAGCCCCAATCTCTCCACCCTCTTACTCATATGTGTTGCAGGCACAGCTTTAATCAGGAATACAGTTTTCTGAAAGTGGGAAGCCCAAGCATTCCCTTGTGTTCTAAGGTTCTCTATAATCTGGTCTCTCTTTCATTGACTCATTCTTTAGTTTACACTTTATTCTCCAGTCAGAGGTGTTTTCATTGTATGATAACTATAATTATAACTATGGTACTGTATACCATAACTATAACTATTCTGTTATGATTGTTTTCATTTGTGATTTATATTCCTTTAAATTTTTTGTATGCCTTTTTAAAAACTAGAATATTTATTTAGTGTGTGTGTTATGTGTGTGTGTTTGTATGCTACATGCTACCATATTCATGTGGGGGTCAGAGTGTAAGACCCCTGGAAAGCTCAGGCTTCCAGAATC